GCTAATCTTTGTAAATGTGTCGCCCTGATTTAGAGATACAAAAGCTTTGTAATGAGTCGAAGCATCGAAAAGGCACACAAAAATGAAGGCAAGACAACAAATTAGTCTAACCAATTTATCATGGCACAAAACAGAATGAGTGTAAATTTACTTTTGCACGACAATTTCTTTTTTCAAAAAAGGAATAGAACACCATACCTATGAGCATCTTCTTGCATTCAATTGAGGATCATTGAAAACCCTAGCTTCCTGAAGAATAACACCCTTTTCAATCCCCATAAACAGGAAATTAAATAGTCTGTTGTATTGTCATAGATTTCCAATATGAAAATGCCATTTCACCACTAAAACGCATGTTGAACAAAAAAATTGTTGCCTCCTAGACTTCTAAATGAAACAAAAAGGCGTATATATAACATGCAATGAGATGAGCTACCATAAAATACATAAGCTCGACAAAGTAAAATAATAAAAGTTGATGTTTTTCAACAATTTAAATCATAAACTTAAAAACTATGAACTTATCGTAGGAGGAATATCAATGGTTGAAATCTTTGTTAGAACTTATGATCAGCCACTTTATCTTGCTAAAGAATATGACAATTTTATCTATTAATTAACATCAATTTGACAGGAGAAAATTCAGAGACCTTAGAAGCTATGAGATCCAATTTTGCTCCTTTAGAGTTATGTATTGGTGAGGTGGGGTGTTTCTTCTGCTGAGTGGTACACGTGGTGTGCTAAAGAAAATGTGCAATCACACGTGTTATTAACAGGAAAGAGCAAGGAAATTTAGTGCAGTCCAACTCTAAAGTACACTTTATGTTGCCTTTTGTACTGTTTCTTGATGCAGCGTCCGTCTGTTTCAAACTGGCATTTTTAAATATTGGTAATAATTATTATCAAATAAAAGAGATAAACATGAGTAGAAAAAGTAGGCAAATATCCAAAAAGAAACAAAATAGGGAAGTGCAATTTAAGTGCAATACACGTATCTGTGTGAAAAGGCAAAAGCTTAAAAAAGTTAAATTGTAGATAGTACATCTCATGTAACATTTGGTACTACTATCTGGTGCAGTGTTCGTCCCAACCCAAGTCCCATTTCTAAATAAGGGTAATATAAAAAAAAAATAAAAAAAAAAATGTATATATATTCACACATTAGAAAAATGTGTACTTCATTGTTGCACGACACACGGTGATGGAGGGAGGAAAAGTATATTTTTTGCTTTTTTCACGTGTTTATATAGTTTACGTTTTGGTTTGTGCGAAGGGCTTCAATTCTTCTCTTTTTTTTGTTTTTGTCTTTTCGTTAATGTGTGCAAGGGCTTCAATTTTTTCTTTCAATTACTTTTTCAATATTATTTATTTATCTAATTAACAATTTTTTACATGACTTAATTCTTGATTTTTTTTATTTACTATATTTTATCAAGTGTTAATCTCAAATTGATACAAGTGCTGTGTGTATTGTATATCAATTATTGATCAGTATTAAACTTTGAACGACACATAAATATTAATAAAAACATATTTAAACAGTTTTTTTTTTTTAAAAAGTTTTAAAAATGATGAATATTATTATATCAAAGCTTTTGAATTTATAGGTTCATTCGAGTTTTTACCGACACTCACACTAAGTAAAGATAATTGAGTTAAAGCTACAACTTTTTTTTTTCTCAACTATATGGTATTAGATGATTTTTTTTATATAAAAGCTCAATTTTTAACGTGAAAAAACTCTTATTTTCTCAAAATTTTAGAGAACAAGGTTTTTTATTCCTAAAAGATGAACTACTTAGGTATATATCTTTAAAATTAGAATATCTAAAAGAAAATGTTGTTAAATATCCATGATTAATCAATTTGTTTACGCAAATCGAATAAATAAATAATTCAAATTATAACTCAAAAATTGAAGAAAACGGTTTGTTTAACCTATTTAGACGATGTGACACCCGTAACTTTCGAATTCTAGATCCTCCTCTATATTTGCTCAAAATTGTAAATCAAATTCAATGAACCTTTAATATCTTATTTAATTATTGAAATAAAGTGTCGCCTTAAAAGAGAATAATCTAAAGTTTAAAATAAATTTGTAAAAGAAAAAAATTGTAAAAGAATTTAATCAAAAAAAATTATTATGGCTTAGAAATAGGTCCTTCTCTAGTGGTTTGAAATTATGGTACAATTATGTCATCTGCTACAAGAATAAAATTATGTTATAAGGAAAACAAGAAAAATGCGTACTTAATTGTTGCACGACACGTGGTGGAGGGAGGAAAAGTAAAGTTTTTGTTTCTTTCACATGATTGCGTAGTTTATGGAGTACATGATTTGTGCGAAGGGCTTCAACTTTTTTTTTTTTTTTTGGTCTTCTTTATTAATGGGTGCAAAGACTTCAATTTTTTTCTATTACTTCTTCTTTATCTATTACTAGTTTAGAGTACGTGCTTTGCATCATTGCATGTGTGCATCAGGTTAATTAATATAATTTTTTAAGTTTAAAAACATTTTTAAAAAAGTGAGAGTGAAACTTTTCGACCATAATCAAATCTTATACAATATTTTTGCTATTTTTAATTTTTAAAAGTTGTACCAAAATTAGCGTATGTTTTTGTGATTGAAATTATAATTTACTAATGTCTCATGCAGGGGCGGCTCAACGTGACTAGGGGCCTAAAGCGAAATTTCAATTCGGGGCCTAAATATAATCAAACCTCATATACATATTTATTCAAAATTTATTTTTCTTACACTATTTAGATGAAAATTATTAGTATTTTAATATTATTTTTTAGTTATTAGTTTCAGGTAAAATTTTATCAACTCAACATTGAAAAACATCATTTTAGTGAGACAATTATTATATGAATTGTTAACATAATTATACAAGTAATAAGTTGATAAATATTAAATAGAGATAAGATTTAGAACCATAGAATTTGACGTAAGAAGTTGATGACTTGGTATACCCCATTTTAATATGATTGTAGTAATGCTTGAGACTAAAATTTAAAACGAAATAAAAAAAAAATTGTAATTCACTTTGTTCAACACTTTTCACTATTAATTCTTATTTTTAACAAAGTACAAAAGATGTTAAAGTGGGTAAATTAATATATTTTTTAAAAAATATATACTTTTTATCATAAATAATCAATTTTTTCTATAAAATTTTAACACATAATTTATTCTTGATAAAAATTTGGGACCCCTGAAATTTGGGGGCCTAAGGCAAAAGCCTTATTTCCCAAAGCATAGAGCCGGCACTGGTCTCATGCAAGAAAAAATTATATTTAAAAACGAAAAGAAAAACGTATACTTCATTTTGGCATGATACATGATGGTGGAGAGAGAGAAAATATATTTTTTGTTTCTTTCACGTGCGTGTGCAGTTAAACTTAATAGATTGTTTAACTTACATCATTACTTTTAAGGTTTTGAACTAAATTATCATTTTTCATAGATCAAAAATTATTTCAACTACACTATATATATGAAACACTATAATTGTCACTTTATTTATACATTAAGTACTATTTTAGTTACGTGGCATATATAAATGAATAAAGTAGATATTTTACTATACATTAAGCACTCTCTTGATTGCATAAATATATTAATATATATGAATAAAGTAGATATTTTACTATATATTAAGCACTCTCTTGATTGCATAAATATATTAATATATATTCACACACACGTTAGAAAAATGTGTACTACATTGTTGCATGACACACGATGGTAGAGGGAGAAAATATATAATTGTGTTTCTTTCACGTGATTATATGATTTACGTTTTGATTTGTGCGAAGGGGCTTCAACTCTTCTTTCTTTTTTGTTTTTGTCTTTTTCATTAATGTGTGCAACAACTTCATTTTTTTCTTTCCATTACTTCTTTTACATTTATTTATCTAATTAACTATTTTTTGCTTGACTTAATTCTTAATTTTTTTTATTTACTTTCTTTCATCAAGTGTTAATCTTTAATTGATATAAGTGTTGTGTGTATTGTATAACAATTACAGATCAGTGTTAAATTTTTAACGCGTAAATATTAATAAAAACACTTTTAAATAGTTTTTTTTTAAAAAAAGTTTTAAAGATGATGGATATTATTATGTTAGAACTTTTGAAATTAAAGGTTCTTTCGATCTTTTATCGACATCATTCTAAGTAAAAGTAATTGAGTTGAAGCTACAACTTTATATTTTTTTTCTGAACTATATATGGTATTAGATGATTTTTTTTATAAAGTTCAAATTTTTAACGTGGAAAATCTCTTGTTTTCTTAAAATTTTAGAGAATAAGGTCTCTTATTCCTAAAAAAACGAACTACTTAGGTATCTTTAAGATTAGAATATCTAAAAGAAAATGTTGCTAAATATGTATGTTTGATCAATTTGTTTATATCAATCGAAAAAATAAATAACTCGAATTATAATTCAAAATTGAAAAAAACTATCCGTTTATCCTATTTATACGATATAACACTCATTCCCTTCGAATCCTGGATCCTCCTCTATATTTCCTCAAAGTTGTCAATCAGATTCAATGAACCTTTAATATCTCACTTAATTATTGAAAGAAAGTGTCACCTTAAAAGACAATAGTCTCAAGTTCTAAAATAAATTTGTAAAAGAAAAAAAATTATAAAAGAATTTAATCAAAGAAATTATTCAGTGACTTAGGAATAGGTTCCTGTCTGGTGGTTTGAAATTATAATAATTTCTTGCTACAAGAACAAAATTATGATGATGAAAACAAGAAAAATGCATACTTCATTGCACGACACTCATGGTGGAGGGAGGAAAAGTATAGTTTTTGCTTCTTTCACGTGATTGTGTAGTTTACGCTTTGATTTGTGCAAAGAGCTTTTCATTAGTGCGTGAAAGGGCTTCAGTTTGTTTTTTTCATTACTTCTTCTTTATTTATTAAGTACTAGTTTAGAGTAAGATGATGTGCTAGCTCATAAAGAAAAACAAGACAGGATATCCAGAGACAACGAGTTGTTGACTCATATTATATGATGATAGTTAGATACTGTACGTACTGAAGTAGCTGCTGATTTTCAACTGACATACATGAAGATTAAAAGCTATATAAAAGAGTTCCATTAACTATGCCATTATCATATGGCTATAGGATAATTACCAAGCTGTTGAACTGTAGCATCTTAGACACACGTACGAGGCGTGTAGTGAAGAGGAGTCGTTATATCTTTGACATTGCACAATCCATCACATCCGCCACGAAATCTGCAATCAAAGTTTCAGATATATAAGAGCCAAAACTCCTCGAAAGGACAGAGTATAGCTTGAATTGGGCAAACATGTGGTAACTAATTTCCTTTGAGAAAGGAGAAAAGAGAGCTTAAATGTACCTGCATCTTCTTTAGTGAAACAAAGTGGAGGAGTAATTCTGAAGACATTTCCACGGAATCCACCCTTGCCAACCAGTACTCCCATATCTTTAAGTCGAATAGAAAAACTAAGTTAATACGTAAGGTGTAATTTAACGACTGGACAAAAGGATGATGATTTAAGAGAAAGTTACCTTTCATCTTGTCCATGATATGAAGAGTTTCAGCTTTAGCAGGAGTTTTCAGTTTGCGGTCAGTCACTAGTTCAACACCTAGAAGCAGTCCTCTTCCCCTCACATCACCAACAACTGCATAAACGTTATTGCAGAAGCTATAATCAATTGAAAGTGACAATGAAAGAAATGCAGTGGTTTCTCCCAAAAAAAAAAAAGATTTGATCATCCTCCTGTAGAGGTAATAATGATAAAGGTGAGAGGAGAAAAATATCTTACTTTCATGCTTATTTTTGATAGCCATAAGGCGCTCTTTCAAGTAGGAACCAACAACATGAGCATTTTCTTGAAGGTTTTCTTTTTCAATCACTCTAAGGACAGCAAGTCCTGCAGAAGTACAAACAGGATTTCCACCAAATGTGTTGAAATAATTACTATGGCACAAGACCTCTGCAATCTCAGGAGTCGTTACCACAGCTCCAAGGGGTATTCCATTTCCAATGCCCTAGAGAAAAACGAGGAAAAGATAAAAAAGATTAATTTTTGGCCGAATTATAATCAGGAGACGGATGTCTTCTTTTGTCATTGAGTATGTAAAATAGCAGATTGTCATTGTTGAAGAGACTGACTTTTGCCATTGTCACTATGTCGGGAACCACTCCTTGGTTCTCAAATCCCCAGAAGTGGCTTCCAGTGCGAGCAAATCCAGATTGAACCTCATCTGCAATACAAAGGCCTCCAGCTTTTCGTACAGCACTGTATGCAGCAGGCAAGTAACCTGGAGCCAATTCAACTATCCCACCAACACCCTACATTTAAAAGGAACATTATAGAGGATGATACACATGATGTTTTATGGAATTTAGATGGACAAGGTAACATCAGGGAAGAGTACCTGTATAGCTTCAGACATAAAAGCAGCAACCCTTCCAGATGTTCCAAATTGAATAAGATCTTCAACATCCTTCGCATACTTCTCACCATCAGAACCGAAAACACCTCTGTATGGATCAGGGTTTATGGCATGATGCACTCCACTCTGATCAGCAAAGTAAATAGTAAGTGAACAAGAGACAGAGTAATAAGCATAACAAGGTTTTGTACATTATAGCACCCTCATAAGCTACCTAGCAACACTACTGCAGATTTCCTAATACTCCAGTTGTTATAGATAATCAAATACAACTTTAGAATGGATAAAAACATTAAAGTTTTATTTAGTGGCTATTTTTTCCGCTGCACTCTACATTTCCACTGAATATCAGATCTAACAAAGGAGAAAATGCAACATAATAAGACTGTAACTTCTTAATGATGATAAGATACCAAGTAAAACACAGAGCATTCCATTAACCCCTTTAATGTAACTTCATAATAGTCATATGAATGGTTGCATCAAGCAAACACAGAGGAATAACATTGCAGAATACGAAGTTGTACCTGTACTACATTGAATTTCCATACGCTTTGCCCAGTGGTGCTCATAGTGGCAGCTGCGTTTCCATGGTAAGCATTCCTTAGAGAAATGATATCATGACAACCGGTGTATAATCTTGCCATCATAATTGCTAACTCATTTGCCTCAGTCCCGGAATTGGTGAAGAACACAACCTGGAAAAGCAATCATATGTCACGATCAGATTGTAGACATGGATTTAACGTATAAACAATAGCATTGCAAAGTACTTTTACACTATCAGTGTATCCATTATAGAAGATAACCTGCCTAATTTTCTAGGCTGCTGATTTCACTTTTTATGGTTACAAGTATTGTGCATATAAGTTAATGTTTAAACTCATTTGTAATTTTCCAAGATACTGACCGCATTTCTTATGGATGGTCTGGACAGTTACATGGATTGTGTATAGAAGTTAAACTTTGTAGGCATAACTTGATATGGTGCTCTAGATAATAAACCAGAGAGTAAAGAACTACCTTGAGATCACCAGGTAACTTAGAAGCAAGTGCCTCAGCAAAATCAGTAATTGCGTTATTGAGGTATAAGATAGTCGAGTGCTGTAAGCGTTTGGTTTGATTTACGATGGCCTCTACCACATCAGGGTGGCAGTGTCCACAAGATACAGTTGCAATTCCTCCAAATGCATCAAGATATCGACGTCCATTGCTGTCAAATAAGTATTGCATCTTTCCATGTACCAAATGCAGCTGTACATAATAACCACAATCACATTCCCAATCTAAAGATTAATAGTACCAAAATGAAATTACAGAATACCGAATCAGGTAATTCTCAAACTAGAGCTAACCTCTACTGAATCTGAAGATGAAACTTTATACTGCTACAAAATGAACATAAAACAGACCTCAAGGTAGTTTGCTGGATTCAACTCTAAGCCTCACAATATTTACTAAGACTTTCTTGCGTCGACAATTCAGCATCAGACAACTTGTACTACTTTTTATTTTCATTTTTGTATAATATTTCCAATACCTGTTTTAGATTAAGACATACGGATTCCAGCATCGAAATAATACTTAAACTTGTCTCCATCCGTCTCAGATTATGTGTCATGTTTCTCTCTTACATGCCCCTTAAGAAAATATTAATTAGGAGGAGTTTTGACTATTTCATCCTTATTCATTATCTTAATATATAGTCTCTCTTCATTAAACATACTTTATCTATGTGTCATTTCCCCATAATTGAGTTGTTTGTAGTATTCAAGAACAATTACTCTTAAGGGGAAAATGGGAAAAGAAAAATGAATTTTTATCTAAACTCTGAAATGACAAATAATTTGAGACTAACTATTTTATAGATCAGCAACAACATATCAACGGATAATTTGAAGAGACAGAGCACGTAATTAGATACAGCTAATTAGAAGTGAAAAGAAAGACGACAATGAAAAGAAAAAAAAAGGTTAAAGGGATCAAGTCACGTTAACTCCGCAGAAACACGACGAAAATCAATAATTGGTTAGATAACATTAAATAATCATCCCAGTGCCACCAAAATCATTCAAAACACTATTAATTACGTCTCAATCTCAATTTTAACTCTTCTTTTAGTTTTCGATCCGGTGTTCGGCAGAGCCCGGACTAAATCCTGATCAGGGCACTGCAGACAGGATTTACTCTGTGCCAGAGCTCAAACGCGAAACGCTAGTCAAGGATGAAGCAGTTTCACCACTTTACACAACCCAATTATTCTCAATTTTAACTTAAGCCCCACTTAATTATACTACAAATTCTATCTTTTTTTAATTCTTCACTAAACAATCAGCTAATTAGTTAAAAGGAACTCACCGGATTTTTTTCATAGAAGTAAAACATAGAAGGGCTAAGAAACTCCTTCCGTTTGCTCAAAATTTCATCGGCGGAGGGTCCATTGTACGGCGGCGGAGAGTAGTCGAAGTGAGGCATCTGAGGATTGATGATCATATCATCGTCCTTTTGGGATGCTAAGCCAAATTGAGAATAACAACGCTGCGATAAACCTCGCAACTCTCCTACCCATTTTGCCCTTGCTGTTACAAACCTCTGCATGTTGACGGTGACGACCGGAAGCCGGAGAATTTTTTTGCTGCTGCCGGCGATGGTCTGAGAAAAAGAAGACGAGTAGAAAGAATTAGTGTTGAAATAGAATGAAATTGGAACGTCGCTCACATGTATATAAAGGGTGGGTTTGATATGAAAGATTTTAAAGTGTCTTTATCTTATAGTATAATCTCAAAATAAAATAAAATACTCCTTCTTATCTTTACTTACTTATATAAGTACAATGTATTAAAGCTAGTTATTAATTTTATTTGACTAATTTGGAAAATTAATAAATAATTTATTATTTTATATCTATTTCATCATTACTATTAAATAGTATTTATTTTCAATATTTAAATAATTTATAATTAATAAAAATGATATAGAAAAATTATTCCTTTATTAAATATGCTATTTTCGTTAATGTTTTATATGCATACATATGTATTTTATGATATATACATTTATGATTGATTTTCATGTATATTAAAATATGCTATTTTCGTTAATGTTTTATATGTCAAGTTGATAATGAATTAATGTTATCGTGTATTGGTAATATACTCAATTAATAAAAAAATGTTTAGTTATATTTTTTTCGTTTAAGTTTTGGGTCATATTTGACACGTGTATTCAAAATATGTACTTGCAAATTAAAATAATTAAATTCGGTGGCTAGTTTGAATTTTAATTACCTTGTGAAACAAATCAAACTTTCGATTATTAATTTAGGAACAATTGTATATTATTATAGCATTATTATTACTTAACAATGCATGAACATTGGTTGGGTTGATTGCTAATAATTATTTGGAATAATATCCAAAGTACATTCAGAGTCTAGTCAGATATAATTTTGGTTACGTTCCCTTTACGTAATTTCAATTAATGCTTACTTGTATTGCTGGAAATAATATTGTACTATATTAGAATTGTATTTAGTTAGGTACTTATTAGTAGTATGTTTTTGAGAAATTTATTTGGTACTCATAATTTGTTAGTAGCAAATTACTTGGAACTTATAATTTCTTTGCGTGTTTTAAAGAAATTTAACCTCCTCATTATTGTCAAGATATACGAGTTATTATCTCTTATGATAAAACGGAAAAAAATGATTCTATAACCGGGACAATGCAAATCAAATAACGGAACAAATTATACACAACAGACACTTGGCATTCTTTTGAAAGAATGATGCAAAAAAAATAAATCAGAAATCAGTGAGAGTTTTTCAGATTTTCTATGTATGTAAAATTGAGGCCAAACATATGAATTTATGGTCAATAAAAGATAACATAAATATGTATTGTTATTATTAAGCCTTATCAAAAAGGTTATAATATCTTCAAAGTGAAAAGATGTTTGTGGCTTTAGGATGAGGTCACAATAAAATGTAAACATGTGATGGTTGATTGAAAAGAACACATCTTTTTATCTTTTTAGATATTGAGGAGAGAAAAAACTAATTTATACTTTATTAGCAAATATGATTGAGGTAACATATGATATGTTTCTTATTAGGGTGTTCACGGGTTGGTTTGAATCAGTTATTGGTTAAAATTTAAACCTAATCAATTATTTTATTTTTATCAAAATCAAACCAAATAATATATACATTTATTGCTTTGAGTGTTATCAGGTTTGATTCAGTTATTAACCATACACAAAAATAAAATAAATTTTTTATTCAAAACGTAAAAAAAGTTATAACAATCCATTCAAAACGAAAAATAGTTAGAATGACTGACATTACAAAACTTTCAATTACTAAATTTACTATGAATAAAACTTCAAAAATCACTAGCTTGGCCTAGAAAGTAGAGATTATGACATTTTTAGTCCCACAAAGAATTTTTATAGACACTCATATACATGAAACCAATAAGATAAATTTCACCTTGGACATTTTTGCTTTCATAAGTAAATTATACTCCTTCCGTCCAACAATAGTTGTCTACTATACTATTTTGGGATATCCAATAATATTTGTCCACTTTATAAAATCAATGGATAATTTTACACTTAGTTCCTAATTTACACTTATCATTAATTATAGTTATTTCTCTATTTCATTTTACAAGACATGTATTTATTATATTCAAAGGATGATATATTAAAACTATCCATCTATTTATAGTTTCTTAAGAAAGGTGCAAAATCAATACTAGACAAGTATTATTGGATAGATGAAGTAATAAATAAATTTTGATAAAAACATATACAAGATCTTTAAAATTATTTATAAAAACAATTTTTATGTATTGTATATAATTTATCGGCTCAGTACAGTTATTTCTTCGATTTTTTTGAGTAAAATCACAACCAAACAAAATACTATTGATTTTAAAAAATCTAAAACCAAACCAAAGCAAATCCAATTAATCAATTTATTTAATCGATTTACTTCATTTTTTTAATCTAAACCAATTTTTATCCAAATCGTCAATACCCCTACTTCTTACCTAGCAAAACTCTATATAAGAATGAGAGTATATCCGCATATGAGTTGTGGTCGAGTTCACGAGTTGGATTGTATCGTTTCTTTTTAATTGAATTTATATTTTTTAATTAAAAATTTAAAAAATAAAAAAGAGTAAAAGATTAATATCCATTAGATATGGATTACTTTTAAAATTGAATTTGTATTAATTAAATTTTAAAACTATATGAATAAAATATTATCCAATAATTTTTTTCTCCATTCTCCTATATAAGACAACTTGCCTCCATTTTTCATTCGCATCTAAAATCTCAACACCTTCTTTTAAAAAAAAAAAGAATCTTATACATGTAGATTTGAATTAGTTTGAGATGTAAAGTGAGTCTCGAATATCAAATGAAAAATCGAAAAAAGATATTTTTCTATTTATTTTTACTTTTTCATTTTAGATTTTACATGTCTTTTATAAAATAATGACTAATGTAAGTATTTTATTTTTATATTTATATTAATTAATTAACGCATTGTTTTAGGTCTTAGAAAAAAATTTGGAATAAATAATTAATGTCGAGGGTAAAATAAGAAAAAAGTAATTGTCCTTTTTATTGGAAAAATTATGATCAATGCCATACATTTATAGTATATTACACTCCGTAGCTATAGATTCAGGTATTTATAATTCACGGCCACAGTCTCTTAAATTTTGCTATTCGGTTCCTAATTGTATAAATCCAGAATTTGTATAATTCGAATCCAGATTGTGTATCTGCTTACCCTAGCTATTTGTATACGATTCATTGATGCATTTGATTTGTATAAGTTATGAAAAAATCATGTTAAATTACCCTGTTTGAATATTGACAAGCGAAATACACAAATGAAGTTCTGAAAAATTCCTATGGCAAATGAAATATATAAACGAGAATTTATATATACTTACCCTATTTGTATATTGACAAGTGAAATATACAAATTGACATATCCTAGAAAACGAAACTATAGCTATAAAGCGTAATTAAGTAAATTGTAGCTATGGAAGTAATTAATTAAGTTTAATCTCTATGCTATTTATGAAATTTTCTCTTATATATATATATTAAAAGTGACAAACAAAAGTGAAAATCTATTTTTGAAATAAGGAACAAGTAAAAGTGAACGAAAAGAGTATACTTGGGGGTCTTTTTGACACGCAATATGTAATCATGATTTGAAATCAGCTTGATTTAAAGTTGAAGTTTTGTTTGGATATGCAATTTGAATTTTTTAAATTGTATTTTTTCTCATACATTAAAACCCCACATGTTATGAAAACTATCAAAATTTCCTCAATTGTTTTACAATCTGATTACCAAATGATCAAACCATACTACTTAAAAAATATATTTAAATATCTTAAGGCACCCCATTAATAAATCACATATCTACATGTTTTGTTTATTTATAAATAAATATTTATAATGAACACAAACTTCCAAATACACATAATTTTATAAAGACCGACTAGTCACCAATAATAATTATTCTTTAATATACTCATTTCACATGGTATATACAATTTCTACAGGTCAAGCATGAGGTTTGTGTTTTCTTTCAAGATATTTATGAATTAAAATAATGATTTGAGATTTAAAATCTTCATATCACATATCAAACTTAATTAAGTTAATAAAAAGTTACTCAGTGCACATATTGTAGCACTTGCACTTAATATGGTTGCTTTTTATTATTGCTTATCAATGTCTGAGAATTCAGATGCTTTTCTATATATAGTGCAGGTCCATTTGAAGTATAATTAAATGAGTTGGAACCCCATATACCTCAAATTGGGATGAGTAAATTATTGAAACATATAGGGGAAAAGGGAGGAGGGATAGGTGAGGCAAAAAAGACCAAATGGAAGGTATCTCCTATAAGAAGTACTCCATACAATTAGGTAGTGATAGAATAGCACATGCATTTATTTTTGTTTTGATACTTGTCATTATTTGATTATTGCACATTCCCCAACACCAATTCACTCCTTCATTTGTCAATTTCTTTGTTTTCTACCCGATATTAGATATCTGGAGTTCCGCTATATCAGTTTCGCGCTGGGTAGGACTCTATTTGAAGGGTAGTGCTCTCTATCAAGGAATTTTTATGCTCAAAGGTTTAAATTTGAAACCTCTAATTAAGAGAAAGACATAATACATAACACATGATCCTTAACTTGATTTTAGCAGATAACTATGCCCTTTAACTTTGGGTGTGTACAAGTAGACGCTTAAACTGTATTAAATTAAACAAGTAGACATACGTGTCCTACATGCATAATACACGTAGGACACAAAATTGCTATTAGGGTGCCATGTAGGACAAATGTTTCTATTTGTTCAATTTTATACAAGTTTATGTGTCTACTTGTGCACACCCAAAATTAAAAATCATAATTATCAGCTAACGCTAAATCAAAGATCATGTTTATGTATAATGCCTTTTAGAAAAGTAGCTTCATTCACTGCACCATACTTGTTGTACTTTAATGGTTCTTTACTTGTCAATTGACATGTTGTCGCCTAGCTAAAAGTTCCATATCAAGATACTCCATTTTTACTTTGATACTCTGTGAATCTATGTTGGAGTGAGTGAAGTATTATATAAAAAAATATTA